CGTCTCTCGGGCAGACAGCTGTCGCGACTGGTGGAACACAATGTTGCGATGGGGCTGCTGAAAAGGGAGGGCCTCTCAGTGCTCAGCTCGGTGGGCGCTTTCACTGCGAGGTGCCCGGTTGCGTGCTCGTCCCTGTGGCCGTCAGTTTCCCGTGAATTACGCTGGATGCAGGCCATGATCCCGCTCCTGTGTGCTGAAGTCTCCCTCCCTACATCTACGCGAGTACTGTGTAGTGACGCGTCGGAGTGGGGAAACGGGGTGGCGCGCGCTCGGCTACCCGCGCCATTGCTGTCCGAGTTGGGCTCCTGCTTTGACAGGTGGCGGTTTCGAGAACACGAAGGCAGTGTCCGTTTTGGGGACCTAGAGGCCGCTCTCGGTGGGGTCTTTCCCAGCGGGGAGGTCCTGGAGGTCTCAGAGGGTTCTCCGCTGTCCAAGTTGTTTCCTGAGGTTCCTCTTCTGGAAGATGCCGGGGAAAGCAAAGTGTGTGTGTGTGTGGGGTTGACTGGAGGGTTATGCATTCGAGAAGATGGTCCCGGTCCGAGCATATCACGGCTTTGGAGTGTCGTACTCTGGCATGGTGTTTGAGGCGTTTAACCACTCCCGTGACCTGGTCGAGGTCGTAGGCGCATACTACTATCCGGCAGCGCGGTCAGCATCTTGGCTTTCTCTAAAGGTCGGACCTCAGCGCCTGGCCTTATCCGAGCAGTGCGACAGTTCTGCAGTCTCTCTCTCCGGCGCAATGTTGAGACGGCGATCAGGTGGCTCGTCTCAGAGCTCAACCCAGCCGACCCGCCTTCCAGAGGCCTCGGAGCTCCCGAAGCTTGGGAGGTCACCAGTGGCAAAGTCGTCGAGGCGTGGACCCGGCTACGAGACCGTCGAGATGAGTGCCGGGGCCTTGCCGCGTGCGCCGGCGTCTCCAGACCGCCGGCAGGCGCGGGCGCGCGCAGGGCCCCCCGGACCAGGAGGGCCGTGGCGACGGCGCCTCCGACGAGGCTGGCGAAGGAGGCCATGTCTCATCCTTCGCTGCCAGAGAGGAAGAAATCCCACAGGGCCCAGTACGTCGACGAAGGGGACTTGCCCCGCCAGCAGGGCAAGCTTTTCTTGGGGGCGCGCAGTGTGTCGCGCTGGGCCACCGCGACCTACGAGGCGGCCGTCGCGCGGCTAGTGGAGCAGCAGCAGATCGCGGAGTTGGATCGTCTTGTCGCGAAGAAGGGCGAGCTGGACAAGTCATTGGCCAAGCACCTGGACTACCTGTACTTCGAGGGCGACAGTGCGGCATCGGGACGAGTGCCTGTGGCAGCGGTGATGTGGCGCTACCCGACTTTCGGGCGCCGCGGAGAGGGGCCGCTCCCTTTGGCCTCCCAGGCGCTGCGCGGCTTCGGCAAGATGTCTCCGCCGCACTCGCGCTTCCCGATCCCAGCGGTGGTCGTGGCGGGCCTCGCGGTGGTGGCGGCGAGCCGCGGCGGGCCGTTCGCGTCGCTCGGGGCCCTCCTGGCCTTCCACCTCTGCCTCGGGCCCACGGAGCTCAGGGAGATGAGGTGGAGACACTCGTCTCAGCCGGTCGGGGTCGCCTTCGGCGGCGCGGCCAGGTGGCGCCTCGCGCTCCGCCCCAACGAGGAGGGGGTGGTCTCGAAGGTGGGGGAGTTCGACGAGAACATCTCCATCGACGCGACGGGCCCCCTCGCGTTCCTCAACAGGGTCATGACTCTCTTCCACCGCGAGGTGTCCTTGCGGAGGGAGCTCGACCAGCCGGTCGTCAAGGTGATCGGCAAGGGCAGCTGCCGCGTTCTCTTCAGGCAAGCGGCGGAGTTCTTGATGCTCGAGCCGGCGCCCGTCCCGCGCCAGCTCCGACGCGCCGGCCCGTCGTTCGACGTCCGGCAGAAGTTGAGGTCGTTGGCCGAGGTGCAGGCCCGCGGCAGATGGGTGGTAGATTCAAGCGCAAGGCGCTGCAACAGGGAGAACAGGGGCAGCTCGCCCGGTTGCAGCCCGACGTTCGCACGTTCTCCGAGGTTTCCTGGCGGGCCATCGGCGACGCCCTCTTGAGGCGCTGCGCGCCCTTAGACTCGTCGTGAGCCAGGGCGCCGCAGATATTCCGAAGCTGGGTTTGGAGCTCTTTGCAGGCTCTGGCCGATGGGCGTCGGCCTTGCGGGTCCAAGGCTACATAATCCTAGAGATCGATATGCGCCGTGGGCCTGATCATGACCTGCTCAGCCGCTCTATTCAGAAGTTAATTCGACGGGCCATCCAGTCTGGATTTTTTCGTTGGCTAACCATCTGGGCATCCCGTGTGCCTCGTTCTCCCGGGCCCGAGGCCGTGGGCCTGGACCTCCCGCCGCGCGTTCGTCATCCGAGCCCTGGGGGTTCAAAGACAACGAACTGCCTTGGAAAAGATCAAGACAGGGAACATGTTCGCCAAGTTTCCACCCCATGTTTTTGATCTCGCCCGTTTCCACGGTATTCCAGTTACCCATGAGAGCCCTCGCTCTTCCATGCTTTGGATGCTCCCCGGCTATGCCCGCATGGCTCGTTTCCGCAGTGTGCGCTGCCGGCGTACTGACTTCTGCGTGGGTGGAGTCAAGTGGAGGATGCGGACAATAATCATGTCAGCGCATTTCCCTCTGGATACCGCATGCCGGCGCTGCTCGCCATGCAGCGGTAAATGTGATCGCGCTGGCCTTGCCCATGTTTCTCTGGAAGGGAAGAATGGGCAAGGAATTTTGTCTGACTCGAGTTGCCGAACCATATCCCACTCCGTTGTGTCGTCGTTGGTCCCGGGCCATAGACCGCAGAAGTGGTAATGTGATTATGCAGCGTATGTCCAAACATCTTTGGTAATGGGTGGAACAGTGGTGTGCCCGCCCGCCCGCCCAGGTATCAAGAATGGTAGTGGCACGTTACTGTGTTTCGCTGTGGCCGCCCGTGTCTGTCTCAAGTTTCCGAGGGTCAGCCTGGGGCTCGAGGCCTTTGGCGCAAAACGTGTGAGATCAGAGCGACCAATATGCATCATCGAGTGAGTGGCCAGAGCAGTGAGACGAGTAGGGCGTTGGGGAGAGGTATCCTTGGGGTCGGGGAAGGTCCTAGGATAGAGATAGCCAGTGTTTACACAATGTTCTCTGCCGGTTGGAGCTCGGAGACCCTCCTCCTCTCTTGTAGCTGTTCTGGCTCCCGCCCAGAGCCCTCCCTTCATGTGCACGTGCGCGTTGCTGTGTTTTGCTGTGGCCGCGCGTGTCTGTCTCGAGTTCCCGAGGGTCAGCCTGGGGCTTGAGGCCTTTGGCGCAAAACGTGCGAGATCAGAGCGACCAATATGCATCATCGAGTGAGTGGCCAGAGCAGTCAGACGAGTAGGGCGTTGGGGAGAAGTATCCTTGGGGTCGGGGAAGCTCCTAGGATAGAGGTGGGCGTCGTCGTCGTCGTCCGTCGTCGTCGTCGTCGTCGTCGTCGTCGTCGTCGTTGGTGTCCGTCGTCGTCGTCGTCGTCGTCCGTCGTCCGTCGTCGTCCGTCGTCATCCGACGTCGTCCGTCGTCGTCCGTCGTCGTCCGTCGTCATCCGTTGTCGTCGTCGTCGTCGTCGTCGTCATCGTCGTCCGTCGTCTTCGTCGTCGTCGTCGTCGTGCGTCCCGTCGTTCGCGTTGCCGAGATGTCATCGAACTCGCCGTCGTGATCGTTGTCATCGTCGTCCGTCGTCGTCGTGGGCGTCGTCGTCGTCTTCCGTCGTTGTCGTAGGTGTCCGTCGTCGTCGTCGTCGTCGTCGGTGTCCGTCGTCGTCGTCGTCGCCGTCGTCCTGGTCGTCGTCGTCGTGCGTCGTCGTTCGTCGACTGTCGTCGTCGTCGTCGTCGTCGGTGTCGTCGTCGTCCGTCGTCGTCCGTCGGCGTCCGTCGTCGCCGTCGTCGGCGTCCGTCGTCGCCGTCGTCGCTGTTCGTCGTTGTCGTCGTCATCCGTCGTCGTCCGTCGTCGTCTGTCGTCGTCTGTCGTCGTCCGTTCGTCGTCGTCGTCGTGGTCGTTCGCCGTCGTCGTCATCAACGTCGTCGTCCGTCGTCGTCGTCGTCGTCGTCCGTCGTTGTCGTCGTCGTCGTCGTTGTCGTCGTGCGCGTCGCCGAGAGTTCCTCGCGCTCGTCGTCGTGGTCCGTCGTGATCGTTGTCCGTCGTCGTCGTGGTTGTTGTCGTCGTCGTCGTCCGGCGTCTGGCGTCCGTTATCCGTCGTCCGTCGTCGACGTCGTCGTCGTCCTCGTCGTCGTCGTCGTCTTCATTGTATCCCAGGGACATCAGCGTAATTTCCATGTTTGGAGGTTTTGGAAACAGTTTTTTCCAATGTATTCGAGCCACCCGACTGGCAACACCACGCCATGTAGTTAGAGGAACGGCAGGCGTACTCCGAGGAGTACCCGCGAGAGGCTGCTGGAACTGGGAACCCAAAAAGGGAAGAAACCAAAAACGGGGGATGGGGAATACAGTTCTGTGTGCTGACAGGTGGCCGAGTTTGCGAAGATGCAGGCTTTTCTCTCTCTCTCTCTTTTTCTCTCTCTTCTGAACGATAAAGTGTTTACGTGTTTTTCTTTTGGCCAGTCCCGGACGCCTCCCGGATCCACCTTACCGTTTCTACCGTCACTGTTTGCCGGCCTGGGCTAGGAGCTACCCAGATGCCGAGCGATGATGATGATGATGATGATGATGATGATGATGATGATGATGATGATGATGATGATGACGACGTCGTTGTCGGTGTCCGTCCGTGTCGTCGTCGTCGTGGTCCGTCGTTGTCGTAGTCGTCGTCTTTCGCGTCGCCGAGAGGTCCTGCCGCTCGTCGTCGTCGTCGTCGTTGTCCGTCGTCGTCGTGGGCGTCGTCGTCGTCGTCGGTGTCCGTCCTCGTTGTCGTCGTCCTCGTCGTCCTCGTCGTCGTCGTGGTCCGTCGTGGTCCGTCGTTGTCTGTCGTCGTCCGTCGTGTGCGTCGTCGTCCGTCGTCGTCGTCGTCATAATTGTATCTGTCGTGCGCGTCGCCGAGAGGTTCTCGCGCTCGTCGAGTCCCTGCTGCTCAGCCTGGGCGACTGCGTGGAGCCGTCGCGCCCGCGGGGCACCTCGCACCAGCGTCGCCTGCCGACGTCGGCGATGACGGCGACGGCGATGGATATTGCAGGTGGTTTCGGTACTGCATTCGGCGATAGCTCGGTGTTCTTCTTCTTTGCCATGGTATTGCTCTTGCTCCCCGCGCTGTGCGAGATTGGCTTCGTGGTGGTGGAAGTCGCTCTGACTTCAGGGTTTGAGTATGACTGCTGCGGTTGAAAACTTGAGCGCTCCCTAAGGAGGAGGGGAAAAGGACAGAGAGCCTCCCTTTCCTTTTTGCCCTCCTCCTTGTGTCTCCCTCTCAAATTTGCCTCATCTATCCTCCTCCCTCCGCCTTCCTAGCTTCTCGCTCCTCTCTTCTGACCCGCAGTCCCACGGGGCTCAGTGCCCAGCGCATCTCCTTGATATAGCGCGTCCTTAGTGTAGCAGTTGCCGAGGGCAACGCAGGCTCAAACCCCAGCGCGACACACCTGCGACACCTGACGTGCACAGCGAAGACGGCGAAGTCAGCACTACAACAGACCTGGAGGAACCCTGGGTAGAGTATATACAGAGAGCGACACGACGTGCAGAACACCTCAAAAAGTTCCACCGCATCGACAACTGGGAGACGGTTCACAAGCGAAAAGTATGGCGAATGGCTTCAAGAGTCGCAAACCACACCCAAACACGTTGGACACAGCAAGTTTTGCAATGGTGACCAGACCTCGACCCACGGCAGCGGGGACAGAGGCAGCACGGTCGTCAACACAAACGTTGGGACGACGAAATCAACATGTGTCTACGCCAACGCAGACCAGACCTTCACCGACCGACCGTGCATATCTGCGCGACAGGAGAACAAAACGGCATTATATGTATTCAAACAGCACAGGACACTGAAACATGGACGGCGCTCGGGCACCACTACGTCGACCCCACACCAGAAGAGACCCAGAACCGAAGCCAATGACGCGAACGCCCAGCGAGACATCCCACGTCGACACCGACACCAAGAACTTCCTCCTCTTCCTCCCCCCTTCCTTTCTTCCCACACAGGCTGACACGACCGATGTTGCGCATTTGTCTCGCACTGCATGTTGTCCAGACACGCCAGATTCCCGACGCCACGGCCTTGCCAACCCGGTCTTGAGTAGGCCCGGGCGCTCGTAACGGTGGTCGCATCGCATCGCATCGCAGGCCAAAGCAGGGGAAACAACTAATGGAGGGGCTGGATGGAAAGAAGGGCTCTTCTGAGGGGAGGATGAGGAAGAGGGTAAGGTGAATAAGGAGCTGAGAGGACGAGGGGTTAGGAGGAAAAAGCTGATGTGGATGATGCGGATGGTGCGGATGGTGCGGACGATGATGATGGGTGTTGATAATGGTGACGATGATAATGGTGATGATGGGGGGGATGATGACGACGATCCTGTTGATGATAATGGTGGTGGTGACGAGGGCTATGATGAAGGTGAGGATGGTGATGACGATGACGGTGGTGACGATGATGGCGACGATGACGATGACAATCACGGTGAGGAGGCTGGGAGAGAATAGAAGGACGATGAGGAAGAGGAGCAGGAGGAGGAACACAGCAGGAAAAAACATAATGTGGAGACCGCAACGAGGTCGCCGACCCATCTTGCCTCTAGTTGGTTGTTTTTCTCCTTCCCGACGTGAAGACAACTGTGTATTCCCCATAAGTAGCCTGGAGGAACGCAGAAATGAAGGAGGGAGAGGAAGGGTGCCCCTGATCCTCTGCGCCTCTGGCCTGTATGGGGTGAGAGGTCATCTTCGTCTGTGGAATCGCTGGTTGCCTTCCACGTTCTTTGGGTTTGGCGTCTTCGGCAGATCAGAACTGCAGAGGCAGGTGGCGTGCTTCGATTGTCATTTGTCAGTGGCCGACGCCTGCCAGGAAGGTGGCTCGTCAAGCAGCACCCGGCCTACGACAAATGCAGCAGTGCCGACTCCGACACCCATGCAGGAATTTGTTTTTCGGGGAACATTGAGCCATGATAGCACGTCTGAAGAACATTGGCATGTATACCAAGCAGGTTCGCTACTGCAATTCAGCGCAAAGCCTCCAGAAGCATGCACGAATGCCTTTGTTTGTCTTTAACCGTCCGGAATATCATTCTCCGACGTGCTGACGATGTCTTTCGCGTTGGCGAGCAGATGTTGCTAGTGCTCCGCTGCATCAGGGAGCAGTGGTGGGCCTCGGTTTTCTTCAGTGGTGCGTAAGTTGCACTTTGGTGTGTTTGTTGACCGTCCCGGATACTCGATGCACAGGTTCTTCCTCGTAGCGGCAACATCGTCTTCTTCGATCATACTGTATAGTAGCCGTACCGTGGATTAGATTCGCCAGTCAACATCTCGTCTGCACATTGATCATGACTTTGTTGAAGCTTACGTAGATGTGCGAGCTTTTTTTCCTGCATTCAACAACATATGTTGTCGCGTTGCTTCGTATTATCCACTCGGGTGGCGTGATATTGATTAGTTGCCAGTGTCTCACGCGAGCACTCAGTGTTGTCGAACATGCACATGTTGCTTGTGGGGCTCACAGATGTTGATTACAAGTTGAAGGTTTTTGCAGTGGCATTCGGTCCATCCCGCCACTGTGCTCGGGTAGTGGACAAACGGCCAATCGGGTGCATGCATGTTGGGGTCTCTTGGGAGGCCTTTTGGCGGGCTCTTTGCGGCGGTATAGGGGTCTTGTAGGGTTTCTTTGGCCTCTGGGGGGTCCTGGGGCGCCTGCTAGTGGTCTCGGGGGCCGTCTTGGTGTTGAAGTTCGAGCTGGTTATTTCGGACTCCTGTTGGGGCCGTCGTGCTGCCTCATGGGCCTCTCCTGGAGGATTGACGGCCGTCTTGTGGAGGACCTTGGGGGGCCTCTTGAACCGTGTCAGACTCGTACGACCGAAATAACGAAATTGCGAGAGTCGCAGAAGGAGCAAGTCACAGTTGCCTCGCGATTTTCAGATCGTAGTTTTGGATTCGCATGTCAACGTGTATATGAAGTGAACATGTAGCTAATGCTGGTAGTCCTTCTAACACGTACTAGGGACTGCCACTAATCATTATATTGAGTTCAAGTGATTCCGGCCCCTTTATTGGAAGCGCTGCTAATAATTCGAGTTGTGATTGCTTGAAACTAAACGTATGCGAATTACATCAAGCAATGGGAATTGAAGCAAATGCAGAATGAGGGCGCCGAACGGTCATTCGCTGTCCTTGGGTGCGTGGCTGCAGTGGAGTTCCGCGGCGCGGATTCTGCTTGTTGTTGTTCGTTGTCGTTAGCCCGCCCGCGCCCCGCCTCGCGACTCAACCGCGACCCACCCGCGACCCACCCTGCGACCCACCCGGCTCGCCCACGGCCACTTCGTCACTCCTATCCGCAATTGAGGTGTGCTACGCATCACATTTGTTGCTGGCTTCAGCTGGGCAGTGGACATGTAAAGAATGATTGGGCGCGACGCGTTCTGTTTAAATGAAAACGTTTTGATCGTGGTAGCTGATTCGTGGGTGCAATTTTAGCCAGTTCTAGGTTTCGCAGCTCGCTGTTTGATAGGCAGGCAGTCATTTGATCTCACGCTCCCAGAGACCCACAATCGGTCTGCGGATTTGTTGCTGATCTGGCCAGGTTATGAAGTTCATATGGTTCCTTCCCTGCCCTGTCGCCGCCGCCGCTTCTGGTGTTCTCAGCCACCGCAGCCGCTGGATCGCATTGACTTCGCTGCAGCTGTTTGGGCTGCGAGGTGAAAACAACACGCGCGTGCCAGCCCTCCCTCCTGTCGGCCGGCCGGCGCGCATATGCATACCTATTGCATTTCATAGATCGAAGTCTTTACTGAACGGACAAATCAACCTAGCCATGTCGTCGTCGTCGATGAGCGTTCCAGCCACCGGGGGTGGATATCAAAGAACCATGGTGCGATACGACAGCATACCCTGTAACATGTCAGGTTCTTCGATCTTTTGAGAAATACTTGGTTCTCAGCCGAAAGCCCTCATTCTGTTCATAATAACGACCTGGCCAATCAGCCGCGCAGGGACATGCAATCCAAGGTGCCCGTCGAAGTGCCGGACCCACGTGACGAGTCAGGGTCCCCATAGGTAGAGGAGAATACCGATTTGAAGGAGGTGAGGTGGACGTTTAACCCGCTGAAGTCATAATTGAAAGCATATTTACGTATCGTTGCGAGCGAGGCTGCCGGTTCAACCGGTTGCTTAGCTGAGGACGGTGGTTTGAAGCTCGGAGGGGATGCCAGAATTCAATGCTTACCATCGAATCGGGACCGAACCCCCCGCGCCTCTGGAGAGCGTCGAGGGCTGCGGCCCGCTGCGGGGCCTGGACGGGCGCGCGTTGAATTCCTTGTTGGGCGCGGGCAGGCGAGACGAACCAACGTATGCCAACGCGTCCGCAGGGCTTGAGGCTGGTGCTCCCGTCGATGGTTGTATTTCGCGCGAGCCCGGTGGCTCTCATTGCTGGCGTTGCTAGACAGGGAATTGCAGGTCCGCGCTCGCCCACCAGGGCCTGGTCCCGTTCCGAACAAACACCACTATCCAGAAACATTTAGTGCGAGGTGCCTCTGGAGGCCTCGCGATGGCTCGGCTCAGATCGGGGATTCCTTGCAGCGCGGGGTGGTGCCGGCATCCTGTGGGCGCGTTGGCAGGTGATCCCGCTATCTGCTTGGCGCGGCTTGTGCTTGTGTGATTTTCGTTTTGCGCGTGTATTGTGCCGGGTGTGGACACTGTGCCCCGCGTGCCTGGCGCCCCGCTGGTTTGCCCGGTGCGCGCGCGTCGCGCGCTTACCGCGGGTGGCCTTCGATGTCTTTTCGCTTCCGTTCCCAGCCCTCCCGCGTGTGAGGTCCTCGTTTTGAATTCGCGGCGCTTCGCGCCTCGTTCATCCTCCTCTACTCTCCCCCCTCTCCCCATCATCCTCGTGCTCTTCTTCCGCCGCGCTGCGTTTCCTAATCATCCACTCCCATCTCTCTTGCGTGGTGGGCTTTCGGCTTGTAGCCGCGCCGAGGCAATTTCAGCGCGCCCTTTTGGCCGCGCGTTGTTCGTTGGCCCTATGCGGTTTTTCATTGAATGCCCATTGCGGCGCAAAGCGCACGCCGATGCCGCGACACGTCTAGCGCGCCATGGCCCCATGCGCAGCCCTACCGACGCGTTGCGGTCGCACGCCGCCTCGCCGACCACTCCAGAGACACCTTCACAGGGTCCGTTGCCCCATAAGGAGCTCAACCGAGATCTCGCAGAGCGCAAACCGCATGCCGCCGCCCAGACTATCTGAGGCCGCTTCTCTTGCGGTTCGCGTCTCCATATTTTTGGAGTTCCATCGAAGGCCCCCGTGGCGCGCGCCGCGAGCCGCGTCCGACTCTGTTTGCGCGCTCGCCGCGCCTCTTCTACGCGCCCACCGAATGCCTTGTGGACTGGGCCGCTTGCCACCGCTCAGACGCTTTCAGTTCATTCAATGTACGGTTCGCGTGTCCTCGCGGAGCTGTGCCACATGTATTGATGTTGCGCAGGACGCATGCCGCCGCGCAGACCGTGGCAGCGCGCCCATCGAAATGTTCGTGGCCCCGTAATGCGAAGCCCCATCGAAGGCGTTTATCGCGCAGGGCCCATGCTGCCGCTCAGACTTTCTTATAACGACAGCAAAGCGTTTCGTGGCGCCATGAAGGGTTCCGTCGAAGACTCTTGTGACGCAGGCCGCGCGCCGCCGCCCAGACCAGTTCAACGGTCCTCGCACGATCTGCGGCCGCATGAGGAAACTCCACGGAAGGGTGGTCAGGCGCAGACCGCGTGCCGCCACCCAGGCCACTTCGCACGCGCACTCCTCGCGGTTCGCGGACCCGTGGGGAACCTTGCCGAAGGCGTTTGCGGAGCGTGCCGCATTGCGCCGCCCAGGCCATTTCAGCACGCACCTAACGTGCTTCGTTGCCAAACCGGGGGCGCAGGCCTCAAACCGCCGCCCCGAGCCAATACAGCGCTGCCTCGCTTGATTCGTGGGTCCATTGGGAGTTCCGCCGAAGGTTTCTGCGGCGCGGGCTGTTTGTCGCCGCCCGTGGCATTGCCTCCTCCTGGCCTTGGCGTCAGGCCTCTCCTTCTGTCCCCCCTTTTCGATAATTCAAGCTTCGCGCGGCCCGCTCAGCTTCGACGGGGAGAGGTGCGCTCTCGACCCGCGAATTTCGCTACCGAGGAACCCCACATACTTCATTTAAATCTTGTGTGTTTGCTTAAGTTTATAATATATGCGCAATTCTGCGTTCTCAGCCCTCGTCGCGAATGTTCCCCTCTGTGTCATCCAGCGCCATATTGCTTGAACCTCCCCCCTCTTCCTCGCCTTCTATCCTCCATCGAGGACAGATTCGAGCCAGCCAGCGGCCGCGGTGAGGGACCACCCCCTGCGCACCCTCTATGGTGTCGAGAAAGTGCCACGCCTGCTATGCCCTGGACGACCGTCGTGCATGGCGGCCGCGGTGAGGGACCACCCCCTGCGCAGCCTCTATGGTGTCGAGAAAATGCCGCGCCTGCTATGCCCTGGACGACCGTCGTGCATAGCGGCCGCGGTGAGGGACCACCCCCTGCGCACCCCCTATGACGTCGAGAAAGTGCCACGCCTGCTATGCCATGGACGACCGTCATGCATAGCGGCCGCGCTGAGGGACCACCCTCTGCGCACCCCCTGTGGTGTCGAGAAAGTGCCACTCCTGACACGATCTGCGAGCGTGTCAAGGATAGAGGCCGCGCTGAGGGACCACCCTCTGCGCACCCCCTATGACGTCGAGCAAGTGCCACTCCTGCCACGATCTGCGAGCGTGTCACGGATAGAGGCCGCGCTGAGGACCACCCTCTGCGCACCCCCTGTGGTGTCGAGAAAGTGCCATTCCTGACACGATCTGCGAGCGTGTCAAGGATAGAGGCCGCGCTGAGGGACCACCCTCTGCGCACCCCCTATGACGTCGAGCAAGTGCCACT